CGCCGCGAGCCGCTGCCCCGAGCGCCCTGGCGAGGCCGGAGCATCCGCGAGCGCTGGCGCGTGCCGGGCCCGCCCGGAGCTTTTATAGCTGCCCCGGTCCAGGCGCGGGTCGCGTTTTAGCACATGGACACAGGGAGCAATCAACTAATAATAGTAATGTGACAGCTAGCTGAGGGGCAGGAATCCGGCTGGGGCACAGCTAGCTCCCGTGGAGAGCCTTTAGTTTAAAGCAGCGTGGTTCTCTGAAAACTTTAAAAAACAATCAGAAACAGGAGTTTTTTACTGAATATACTTTTTTTTCCTCCTCTCCCCTCCTTGAAGATGGCATTTCCTTACATTTTTAGTTGCAAGGACCTTCCTCCAGTGCAGGAAAACTTATTTTTTTCTGTCTCACCTGAAACACTGGAGACTGGCTTTAAGCTGAATAAATAAATAATTAGGACAATAATCCCATTAAGCACTGGATTTTTAAGGCTTAACAAAAGACACCAAAACTGGAAAGCATGAGTGATTGCTTATAAAGTAGAGAACAAGAACTTTCTCCCAATGTCACACTCAGGTAGCTGTACTTGTGTTTCTGAAGCAAAGACACAGATTTACGGTGGTGCTTTCAACTCCACCTAAAGCAGTTCTGGGAGGATGATCACCTACAACCGAGTAGTAAATCTGGACAGAACAGATCACAGGCACATTGCTCTTGCATAGCAGTGAAGAGCATACATATTCCTTTTTTAACTTATGTTCTGCATTTCATTATTTATATTACCCCGTAACGGCAAAGTCCTATTCCAGGCCTGGAGCTCACCATAGTGGAATGGCTTGCAAAGGAACAGACCTCTCTGCTCCCAAAAACATAAGGAAGAGACAAGAGCTTGGCATAAACAGCTGAGTGCAATCAAGCCATTCCCATCAGCACAACCAACAGGGATCTCACCAGCTGCCACCCACTGCCTTGGTCACCCATGTGAGTCTGCCTTGTCTGCATCATGGTGCAAGCCACATCGTCCTCCCCACATCATGACCCTCTGCATTTATTAGGTGCCCGAGTCACCTTTTGACTTCATGACCATATACATCACTACTTGGCTTTGGTTGAGTGGGTGGCCCATGTGTTGAAAGATCAGCAATGATGTGAAGCACTTATCAATTCAGATTATTTTACCAGTTTAAAAAAGTTTCCATTTTACTGCAGTTCGATATCTCTATTGTAAATCACACAGTTTGTCCTGTCAGTTATTCTAGGCTGAAACAGAATGAAATGAATGTCAGTACAAAAGCTGTAAAAGTTGTTGCTTCCCCCTCCTTCATTAAAAGAAATGCCTTACACAACTGAGAATAAATTAACTACTTTCTCTCCATATTAATTTCACTGAATTATTTAATATACACAACTGCGGTTCATTTAGGCAATAGAAAGTCCACCAATATGCTTACTCTAGCACTGGATTTGACATGTTTAGTTTGATAGAAATCAAAGACTACAAAAGTGAAGTATAATAGTAATTGAGAACACATTAAAAGTAATATTATTACAACTAAATTACAAATTATATAAATATTTAATTCTTGTTTAAAGCTTGCACCACAATGCTTCTGATCTTAGATGTACAGTTATAACAGAAAAGGATGGCTTTTAAGTTTAGCTTGCTCTTATTAGCATGGAAAGTGACACTCAAAACTATTTATTTCAAAAGTCACAAGCCAAATTTTTACTTTGATTACAAAATATGCTATAATAAGAATACAGTTACATCACACCATCATTGGCTTGGTGCAAATCGGGCATTCCCATTCTCAAAGACAGTAGATTCAGAATGACTATTCAGCTCAGCCTTTGGTTATCAATATTCTTTACATATCCTCTGCATTAAAAGGAATCAACTGTCTCCCACTTAAACTTACACCTCTGCTTCTGAGTTAGGTTGGACAGAATATTACAGTTCATGAACGCTCTTCAGGAAAAGGTCCAGAAAGATCCAGAATTATTCAGGAGCCTACCCACACATTCCCACATTCTCTTTCCTCCTCAAATGTTTTGGAAATTCACATAACTAAAAGCAAAAGTCTGAATGAAACACACTGATGACATAGCAAAGCATTCTGCTTGGGAATTACATGAATCTGATCTTTGCCATGATTCTATGGGCTTTTGACAGTCATGACCTGAAGAAATGCATTTCACTTTTGAAAGAAAACCAAACTATTATATGGTAGAATTTCCAAATAATTTAAGAGTTATAATTTATAAGATTTCTAATCTCATACGGTAACACCATCGAATAATGTTGGGGTTGCAGTCTTCAAGCAGTTTATATGAGTATCGTTGAAATACTGCCTACTACAATTACGAGGTTATAATTTATAAGATTTCTAATCTCACATGGTAACACCATCAAATAATGTTGGGGCTGCACTGTCTTCTAGCAGTTTATATGAATATCATTGAAATACTGCCTACTACAATTATGATAATCATGAAAACATTCAAATATACCTTTGCTTCTGTAAAACAAAACAAAACTGTTTTTCCATGATGAATATTCAGTAATTTTCTCAGTATTCTTTTACAAACTAGACAAATCACAGTTTTCATTTGACACTTTACAACCTCTCAGGTAGTACCTTTGCTGCAGAATATGCTCTTTACTCTGCTACTTTTATTTCAAGAAGCTTCTATTTATTTTCAAATCTAATGAAATACCTTATTGTTCCCTACAATTTCATTCACAGACTTGCAAAAAGCTGCTGAAATGTGTATATTTGAGCTGTAAGATTAAGCAGATAAACTACATGAGAAGGGTGAAAAGATCTTCACATTCTGGTATTGAAGAGACATCACCAAGACAAAAAATATAGCTTAATGCCCCTTTCAGCAGCCTGAATAGTACCAACAGGTCAACAGCGGCATTTAGAATTTCTATTTTATTATATATAGAAGTATACTTGCTTTTTTATAAACCACAGTCAATTGGCATTTCACACAAGTCATATGACACATTTTCATAGTTTTTACATTTATCAAATGAGCAAGACAAAAGGCATTGAAACAGCGACTTCAATAAAGTCTGTTGAATTACACAGGCCCTCCTTTCAAGAACCATTCTGGGTTTGCAACACTAAGTTGAAATGCAACCTATTTAACTTTGTTTCCACATGCCAGATCTGTAACAAAATGCTTCTGAAGTAGCTCAGTATTTATCATGACTTTGTATTACTTCTTTACCACAGCACAGATTTCTGTGTGCCGCCTCTGTGCAGCAAAGCATACACAAATGTAGTTCAGAAGCTAATAGCTAACTAGGAAGCATCATTTCAGTTTATGAGAATTCAATAATATATGTTTATATATAGAGATCATTCTTATTTATTATCTCTAGCACAGGAAGGAAAGAAAACTTTGCTGCAAGTCCCAGATTCCTCATTACTGTACTGTGCCCCTATCTAAAGGTAAGGGTTCCATATCCTTAGCCAATTTTGCACATGCATGTAGATAGACATATAGGTAGATGCAGATTGTGCCAATTACTTAAATTTCCTCTTGAACTGACAACTGATTTCCTACAAGGAAGTGAGACTAAAATGCTTTTAAATATAACCCAATGTTCATGATTAACAGATGTCATCATACAGCCTTATTGAAGGATTCAGTTTTAAATGCTACATCTGAACCAAGAATGGTATTATGCACAGCCACAACATAAAGTCTTAAGAGTTTTAGAAAAAGTTCTAAAATTAAGTGGTGAAACCATATATTTAAAATGTATAAAACAGTGGCCTCAAAGGAACATTTTCATGATTATTAGGAATCTTTAAACAAAAAGTTAAAAAAAAAGGCATAATGAAAGTCATTACCGCCCAAATGATGCCTCTATTTACTCCATAACTCTTAAGCTGCAATACAAAATGACAGCTCACACCCACACAAATGTAATTTCAGGGCAGCGGCAACATGTTGAATTTTGTGAGTGTAATTACTTTATTGCACATGGGTCACATAAATCAGAGACTGTATATGCCCCAGCTGAAACACCTTCTAGATCTAAACACATAATGACTTTGAGACACTGTAATGTGCAGCTGTAGTACAATACTTTAAAGGAAACAACTCCATCAGCTTCAATCACAAATTACCTGTGGCAAAAGTACAGTATTTCATAAATAAACTTTACCCCAATATTACAGAAAAAAGCTTTGGGATACATTAAATATAAATACAGTGACAGCTGAGCTGCAAATTTAATTTAGATATATACAACACTATGCTCACCAGTTCTTTTCCTAGATGCATTTCTAACTTCCCTGAGTTCCCTTCCATATACAGCCACATGGTACATTTTCAGATGTTAGCTCAGTAAGAGCAGCGAAGAGCTTTGAAGTTATGGAAAGAAAGGTGGGAAGGAGTGAGTCAGGGTGCACTCTGTTGCATTTGCCAGGTATTTTAAGCTTACTGCACTTTCGCTTCGAGGAGGCCACTGGTCATGACATGGCCATGAGCACTGACACAAGCGCTGACGTGTCTCAGGGAATCTGCCCCCAGGTAGGCAGCCAGCAGCTCCGTGCGCCGCATCAGTAACCGCATAAGATCCTCCGCCAGGCTCTCCATGCTCGAGTATCGCACCTTTTCAAAGTCAAAAATGTCTTTCATGAAGAAAAGCACTTGATCCTGTTGGAAAAAAACATTATGTGTAAAGGATAGAAATAGCATTGCGTAGTATAACATCGCATTTTATTGTGGTTCTTGTAAATGCAAGTTTTCTTTTTTCTTTATTTCTTTACCCACCCACAATTCCATTTATGTCTTTTGGCGCTTAGATAGAAATCCACCGAAAGTAGAATATACAAAACAGTTCTAGGCCTAAAAATCTAACAAATAAAAACAGTTCAATAGGAAAATAAATATTTTCATGATTTCTTACTGTTAATTTTAAGAAAATGTAAATATTATCTTATTAATAAAACCCTCACTTTGTTTAATCTGAAAGATTTTGTTTTGTTTTACTAAGATAAGTGGGAAATAAAAAAAAAAAAGAGAGAAAAAAAAATAAAAGGAAAAAGAAAAAAGGTGCAAACCTTGAAGAAGCAGCATAGATCATACAGGGAGTTTCTAGGGCCCAGAAAGCCCCACGCCAAAACAGGGCTGATATGTTCGCATATAGCATAGAAATGTGCAAAAAATCCATCAGGCACCTAGCAGTGTAAAAAATGGAGAGAGAAAAAAAGTTATACAGTAAGTCTGCTACAAGGCTCTATTATAGGGAATTGAGTCTTTAGGAAAGCCTAAAGAAAAGACCTTTACTTTGGGCTGTTGTAACCTAAGCTCTTAAATTATATGGAAAAAAAAAAAAAAAAACCTACATCATCATTCAGGTCTGAGGCAGAGTCGAGGGAGACTCCTTGGCAGGAGCTCCGGCTGCTGCTGAGGAAGGGGTAGGTCAGGCAGGCAGAGGAACTTCCCCCTGGCTGTGGAGGCGATGCAGGGACACAGGCCTGAGAATCCTGCTCTAAGCAGGTGAGATACAAAATTACAGACCTTGGCCTCTCCCCACTGCTGCCTGGACCTAAGCTGGCTTGAGAATCTTATAGAATCTTTTCTTTTTTCCCCCCTGAGAAGTAGATACTAAGGCCTCAAGAGCTAAATTTCTCCAACTGGCTCTCGTATAATGAACGTGCACAGAATTAATGGTTGATCTGTAATTTATTTTTCCAAATTACAAGGCAGAACTTCAAATTCTTCAGACTGACTGGTAAGTTTGGTCCAAACAATTTGCAAAGCAACTTACCTTCATTTGTTGCCTTTTCTGCTTCAGTACTGACCAACAACTTGAGGCCACAGCCTAAATTTAAACAATAACAATAAAAAAATCTTCAAAGCACTGAAGTTCAGAATATAGAATACTATATCTCTGTATTTTGAGGATTTATATTTTCGTATTTCAATCTTGCAATATCAGCTGACACAAACCACTAAGTTACTATTTAGTACATTTGTTATTTGAAGTCTGTCTTCCCAACATTTTTCAATTCAAATGTAATTTTGTCCCCTTGGCTGCTTTTTACAGATGAACAATTGACGTTTACTAAGCTTAACAGAACCGGTCTATTACATATCAAAATGTGTGCTGAGACACCAGTAGCTATTTTAGATACTAAATAGCATGTGAATACATTCAAATTCATTTTTTCATTTCAACAAAAACATTCTTTCAATAGCTTTGGATTCAGCTAAGTAGTTTTGTCCTAATATGGACCTGTGAAATACCGATATCAAAATTAGGCTTTCCCTCTCATAGCTTGTAACAGAGTTCTGACCTAATCTGATGTTCTTTCAGTACTGTAAGATAATTTACTAGTCCCAAAACACAATTTCATTGCATTAAAAATATAATAATATGTTTTTTTTCCTTGTAGAAGGAATATTTAAATTGAAAGATAAAATTAAAGGAAAAATGGAGGTTTACAGATAGAAGTGGATGAAATGACAATACTTCTGTAACAGAGGGATGAATTCTATTTGATAAATAAACATGCAGAAACACACACAAAAAAATGAAGTCATATGGACATCTAAATCTCTGTATTGCATTCATTTACCTGCTACTTTTTGTCTCTTACTGTTAAAACTCTAGCATATGAACATCAGTGGTATTAATATCTCTGGTGTGGCTATCAGAAACTTCCCTTGTAAAACTCTACCTTCTGTTTTTGCAGAACAAGCCAAAATGTTTTCTCCAACATAATCTTCCTGAATGTTTTGGGCCTGACAGGTTTACAATTATAATACAGTTCATTCACTTTTTCTGAGGAGCATTTCAGGTGCGTATTCAGTTATATTGGAAGCTGAATTAGACTTTACACAGAGGGAGAATGTGCTTTTTCTTTGCTTCAAACTTAATGCTGTTACTAGGAAGATATAGTCTTTATGCTGCAATTGTTGCCAATGATACTTAAATGGCTAGAAAGGATGAAATTATTCTCCTCATTACAGTATTCTTTGAGAATGTAAAGCCCAGAGCATCAAAAGAATGGTTTCAGCCAGTCAGAAGTTTTGTACCAACATGCTCACACCAATGCTACATCACTCACACCCTCTACCTACTGCAATGTGCAACGGAATAACAAATATGACAATTACACATCAAAACTTACTGTTTCTTTGAAGGAGGAATTTAGCCAGCGGTTGTTTACTACATTCTGTATAGATATTGGTGGATTTTCTAAATCTTCAAAGGAATCCATTAATATGAAGTCCAAAACAACATCATAAAAATTCAAGTCTTTCACCTATATTAAATCAGAACATGATCTAAGTGACTTGGCTTCTCTTGCAGCCCTGGAAATCAGCACGTGTCAGTATTCAGCTCTGCAATAACATCCAGATTTGTCATGGTTGTTTTTCTTAATGAAGTATTAAAGATACTTCATCAGAAGTTGAAAAAGTTGAAAGAATTTGAAAAATATCGAATGTTTTCTTATACCAAACTGAATGGTGGGTGTCATTTCTCTGACTCAACAATGTAAACAACAGAGTTGCCTTTCCCACAATTCTGAACTATAAAAGTCTATTTTAAGAGGCAAGATTTGCATAATTAAAGGGTAAAAGCACATTTCAGAAAGTCACACTCACCCCTCTAGCAGCAAGTTCCATTTCAGTATTATCCCAGTGATCTGTTTGTTCCAAAAAGTATATCATTTCATCGAAGACATCTTCAAATTTCTTTGGATTCTGAGAAGTAAAAGCAGGAAGTATCAAGTCAAAACGTTCATTTACAGCAAAAAGTGACTTCTAGTATAAAGGCCATTAAGCAGTAAAACGTTAGTTTCAAAAAAGAGCTTTACCTTTCGTGCTCTCACAATTAAAGCGGACAAAATTTTCCTTCCGCTTTCAGCAAGAAATATTCTGTTAGCTGTTTCTGAAAGAATTACCTAGAAAAAATGCAGAAAGTACAGACATTAATTAATATGCCATAAGCTATGAGACCTTAGTTATTTCAGTCAAATACAATGTATATGTTTTATTTATAAAATATTAGTACAGTGACAAAATTTCCAATCAGCCTTTTAAATAAAAATTTCAAAGCTGATCAGAAAAGTCCTTTGCAAGTATGTCCCACTGTAGAATTACAAAAACAAAAGCAACAAGAAAACATTTTATTACATGATACATTGCAAAAATGCTTGCACATACTGCATTGACAGTTTCATTGCCATGTAGATTAGGCTTAACGAGACACAAAACTCTGCCTTTACCTGAAAAGCTTGTCGAATACAATGAAGCTTAGCAAGAAAGTCACTGTCTCCTAGACATTCCAACATTTCAGTCCTATATGAAACAGAAGTTTATGAATCATTAAAAAGAGAAGCACAAGAAAATATACACAGTCTAATTCTTTTCTTAGGGGGAGGAAATTTTTTTTCCTCCCCCTTAGAAATTCAGGTAAACATCAAGCAATACCTTAACACTCTGGAATAAATTTTGCCTTCTTCTGCCAAGTGCATAGCTTCTTCGTACAGTGGGCAATGGCAAAGGGAATCTAGACCATAGGAATTACGAATCTCTCTGTGCTCTGTAAGCTGAAACACACACACACACACACACACACATATATATATATTTAAATCTTGGTTAAAGAGCTGGCTAAAATATTTTTTTAAAAAGATAAAACATAATATACATGTGTGAATGCTTATATAATCTATATATACTGCGTAATATATTTTATATCAGCAACACCTTTACTTACACACAGTATATAAGTAGCATACACGGAATATATACAATACTATATATATACAAAATTATTTATAAGACTAAAAAATTTCCTCAGCCTCAAACTGAATTAATATTTTGATTAAAAAAGTAAACTTTGTTTGATAATACGACTACAGTTTGTGTTCTATCAACATGTGAGAACAGAGCATGAGCTGCATATATAGTGAATGAATGAATGATGAAACTGACTGATGGAGAGGGCAGGAAAAATATTCAATTGGGTAAACTGCAATGGAAGTCAGGAAGGAAGTGGCAGAGACCTTTACTTGGCACACTCACTGCTGTTCTCATGCCAAGGATGACAGCTATTTTGATCACACTGTAGTTGGGATAGCAAGAATATGAAAAGGAAACTCTCCTTTACGATGAAACTCTCATAAACCCAAGCTGGTAGCAGACTGTTTCAAATGGCAAAGAAAACAATTATTTATCACACTAAGCAGTATCAACAACTTTTAATTAAGGCAGACAGGCTTACCAACACTTCGGTAGGGCTTGTGAGAAACTGCCTGTGTTTAGGAACGGAAGCCTGGCCGGGCCTGGGGAGGGACCTGCCTGTCCAAATCATCCTGACGGGGATGCAGTCACCTGTGTATTGCAGGTCTCCAGACTGGCGCAGCTCTCTATGAGGAATCAAGTGCCTGACTCTCAGCAGCCTCTCGACCGCCAGCCACAGCCAGGAGGAAGCGCTGACATCCTCTACTGCTATCCCGCTGAGCTCAGGCGGTGCCATCCAGCCTCTGCCAGCTGTCCTACTTTTGTACATTCCCTTTCTTGAAAGCCATCTTCCTATGCTGTGTTTTAGTATAACGCAACACAACAATCATGTCATCTCCTAAGGCATTTCCCTATCGACTTCCATTGAAGCACTAATATCTTGTTTCAGTTTTCCCTGCATCTTTCCTCAGGGCACCAAACTGAACTTGACTGTCTATCAGTACTGAAACCACACACACACTTCTAGTCTCTAAAACTAGTCTCTAAAACGAGAGCCACATAAAAACATATAATTCTGCTCTTTGGGACAGGATGCAATTTAGAAGAAATACTAATAACTGCCAATATAGGGTGTAGTACCGTGTGACTACAAAAATGCTACTATTTTGTAATTTCTCTGAATGTAAAATTAATAATGATTCCAGCAGGGCAAATACACACAGTAGCATATGCATATATATACATAAACACCATATTATAAAATAAAGTTTTGAAAAACCTTTCTACCATCAGACATAGTTCAGGACAGCTACTGCAACCAGGGAGAACAGGATAAATGCAAACTGTCCACTGGATGAGCAAATCTAAAGCTAGAAACCCCTTGTTCCCCTTAACCTGGAACATTCCATCGCTTTGCAAGTGCAGGAAGAACAAAAGGGAAGTATTAGATAAGTGAGAAGCTACATGCCATTACCTTGCTCAGAATACAAAGTTTAATACATTGATTCTAACGCAGTTACTACTAAAGTGATCACTTATCTGTCAAGAACTGAAATACATTCAGAAGCAGTAATTATTTCATGCTACTGCTATAGTTGTTTGCAGAGCTAATTTAAAGCACTTCCACCCCTTCAAGAATGGGCAAAATTTTACATGAAGGTGACACTATATTAATAAAAGGAGATAATGCATAACAGCTTAGTTTTAGCTACTGTGTGCAGTGATGCCCCAGTATGTTGCTACTACATTGCTAACTGGTCCTGTATTTCAGCTCACGTTGGATCCAGCGGTTTGTTGGTGATCCAACTTCAACACATTTGTTACTCTCTTGATCTCTGGGACTCCCGTTCAGCAGCTGACAGGCAGTCTATCAGGATGCTACTATTAAATCGAAGAGAGGCAACCAGAGAGCTTGTTCTATCGGCCAGGGTTAGAGGAGCTCCAAAGAAAGAGTATCTCCAGATTTTTTTTTGTTGTTTTCTTCAAGGAGAAACCTGACAGAAGTTGCTTTGAGGTATCAAAATACAGAGACTATTTTCAGAATATAGAGAGACAAGATCTAAAGCCAATTTAGGCTCAATTCTAACTCTTTAGCAAGCACAAATAATTTATTGTTTCAGGATAGGATAATATTTCTCAAAAAGTGTGGCAACATAAGTTGCAAAATTACTGACAAAATTTAATCAAAAAGGTATACAAGATCTAAAGGAGTCGAAGCAAGCCTGAATTGTGGCCTTGTTCCAATTCTGTGCTAGAGAACAATGCTAAGCATGCCATCACAACTCAATGTAAATTACTAAATCAAGGCAATTGTGTCATGGAAAAACAAACCCTATAAAAGCAATTCAAAAGATCCCTGCAAAACGTGTATATGCAAGTCTGTCTTTTCTAGAGCTGTTAGTAGCTCACTTATAGTGCTACACAACTGTGATAGCTAACATAGAAGGTACTGCCTGAGACCAAAGGTCTTCCTTGTGTTTGGAGAATACTATTCAAGATCACCTCCTGAGAGACTATACCATGAGATATTCCTCATTCAAGTAGGTATGTGGCTGTATATGAATTATTCTGAATATTCCAAGGAAGCCATTGCAGGTTGCAGCTATGAGGCAATGCTGTTACCCAGCATTCTTTATGTATCCTTTGTAGTTCTGTTCAAGATGAGGAAGAACAGGTAGATGACATTTATTATGGTGTGAATGCAACTTACTTAAATAGGTAGTTGTGAATTGCAAATAATACACCCTCTGCCCCCAAAAACACACCCAAAGCCAACTCCAAAAAAACAGAACATTCTTCAGATATGCCTATATTATGCAAAGAGAATGGAAGGGGGCCAGGGAATATAAAAATGTGAGAGAAACTTATACAGCCTCATTATTTTTTCTTCTCTCTTCTTCTTTTCTCTTCTTTTCTTTTTCTTCTCATGAAATTCTGGTGATATTTTTCATAAGCAGCTTAAGATGAGTTGGGAAACATGCTGCCAGTGGACAGGAAAATGGCAAACTGTCTCATTCCAATTGCATTACTTGAACTACTGGGAAGCTGATTATGGATATGAGAGGGAAGCTGGGGTTTTTTTTTTTGTAAGAAAATAAGTTTTACTTCTTAAAATAAGCAAGGAACTAGGATTTCCCTCTTCACTCTTCAGATAGAACCTACAATGATCAGAGAAGAAATTAAATTGCAAGTCTTACCTCAGCTGTGGAAACAAAGGAGTCTGTTGATGCAATGCTCAATGTATCTCGAAGGCAGAAATCATCCGTGTTATCCTTTACAGTGATGTCTGTATTCTTATCTTTAAGATAATAAGAATAAGCTGATAAAGGGGAGATATTGATATTCTAAAAACTTAATGTCTTTTTTTCTTTAAACAAGTTTACCATTTGTGTAACAAGATTGTATTTTTCATATAAAACTGATGAAAACATGCATGAAAATTAATCAAACTTAACAATTTAATGCTGTACTTTTGGAATAATCAAGATATCTTCTGTAATTCTGACATTTAATTATACACCATTATACTTCAGTTTGCTCTGACAATAGCTTGAATTTGATTTCATTTTCTATTTTCATGCCGTTTTCATTTAACAGCTTTCCAGCAATGCAAGGACAGTTTTAAATTCTTCACTACATCCTCTTTTTCCAAAAATCTTTCCAATTGAAATTATACATCCAGAAGTAGTTCCTCTAGAACTATAATTCTTAAAGCCTTCAAAAGAATTGATATTCTATCCTTAAAGTCATTTGCAATACAATTTCCATCCATTTTCCATATTGCTAGCATATAGTTTTGCTTTCACCATGCAGAAACACTTTCACAGAAGGATTAAATTCATAAGTCAGTAAGCCAGACTTTGGCTTGATGTGCCCCATACTACATTCTCAGCGGATCACAGGCATTTATTTTGGGTTACTTTACCTTGAGACATTACACATGTGTTGCTAAAAGTCTCTGTTTTATTTCCAACAGTCAACAGCAACCAGCTACCTAATGTCATCCAGACCTGTTGCTAAGGCAATACTTCGTAAAAAACACTATTACATAGCAAAGAGGCCACATGCCAATATATCAGAATGGTTTACTCATCAATTGAAATGCTACAACCCACATAACTATTCTTTCAGTGGCTGTTATGGACTTGGAATGACAGTTCCAAAATTATGCATAATGATAAATATCTATCTTTGAACATATTCACAGAGAGGAAAAAGTTGTTACAAGTTTGGACAGAGATTTTTCTCGATGCTGCTACACAGCATAGTTGACCTAGACTTAATCCAAGTTTTTATCGTGGTTTCATCAACATGCAGAGAAAGTCTCTGATCTCTTCAGAAATTCAGTTTATTTTCTCTTTCAAACTCAAAAGCAAGAAAAAATGTATTGTAACATACAAGTTGGTTGAGAAACATATCATATCCTATGCACTGAGAATCATATCATCCTATGTACGGATCCAAAGGGCTACAACAGAAAAACAAACTGTGATTTGTAAAGCAAGTGCTTGAAGAGCAGATTAGTAACATGATGTTTCCTTCTTATTTCAAGCTCATAATTACTTGCATTAATACCTCTCTAATGCTATATTCAATGCTTTCCTAATACGATTTTGTCTCATAAGCATTTACTGAAACAGAAATACTGTAAAAGGTAGGGGAGAACAGGGAAGCACAGTCTCGTCTCAGATTTTTTCACTGAACCTCTCATTTAGTTAAGTCCACAATAAATCTGCAATTAAAACAATAGCTTCTACCCCTCACAGACAGACAAACTCTCCAGTTCATGGTCCAAGTGCACCCCAAAGCAATATCGTTTTCCTGATCCTACCAGGTCTGTAGGCAACAGGCAGCACTTGCTGTATAAGAAGTGATACAAATTACAAGCAACAGTAACATATGGGCCATACTGCTAAGGATCTTAGGGGCAGTTTTAGTGGAGATGTTAAGATACACAGAGGGCAGCTGCTAAGTAGTCTCAACATATTGTCTTTTTCCCAATTCAAAAACATCTCCTCTGCCTGCAGAGGGAAGCCCCAATTCTACCTAAAAGTAAAGTCTAAAACTCTCTGGATATTGTCTAATGATTATTGAGCAATTTTACTGGAATTTTACTTTATACAGTCACCAGGAGTTTCATGCACTTCATGTTGGGGAAAAAAAAAAAAACACCAAAACCCTCTTTTTCTAGTAATGCTTGCAAGAGTCATTAGTAATGTCAACTAACAATACGCTACTATGTAAGTGAATGATTAAATTCCTGATAAAAGGTTGTTTTTGCCAGATGATTTTTTAAAGATTACTGAATATGTAGTTAACTTCAAAATGATTCATGATGAGTACCTATTGAGAAATGAGAGCAGGGGAAAAAAAAAAAAAAAACACAAAACCCACAGACTCCTGTTTTGTTGTTCTAGATTAGAATGTAGAGTAGAGGGGGAAGCTCTTTTTTTTTTTTTTTTTAGTATGGGCCTAAAAGCTCCACCTAGCCAAGATATTTTAACATGCATGTTGAATTTGAAATACCTATGTTTTCACTCAAAGAAAAAAAAAATTCTCATTTACTACACGAAAAGGCACAAAATAAGAAATTTGTTCCAAAAAGGGCTGGTAGTGCTGAGTAAAATACTAATATCTTTGGCAAGTGATATGTCCAATACAAATCAGTTTACTAAAAAAATAAATAAAGGCGCCTTGTGAGCTATTTCTGGCTTTACAGTTACCACCAACTCCCAATATCCTAAAATATCCTTAGTCAAGCAGGTGCTTATCAATACTCATGCTGTGCGAGGAACACACTATTATGAAAATGTTAGGGTAAAAATTAAGTTACAGCTGGAGGACATGCCACACGAGTACCGGGAGAACATTATTAGCCACGAGAACATGAGAAAAGAGAGAGCAGCACAAGGAGAATCCGGGAATGAACAGCTGCGAGGAGAACCCGCCCACCAGAGGCTGCATCTGCTGGCAAAGACATCCCAAGTTCTTATGTACTCTAACACTTGAGAGAAAGAAATACTAGTGAGCATGTGAGCTTCAAATATACTTTGCTTATTTGAGCAGCCAGGGCTTTATTTAGGGTTCATTTGTCTTTGTAAAGAGGCTGAAGTGGAGTTTGTGAAGCAATCTCCATATAGACTCTAAATTGTAATACCTTAAAATGTATAGGTGGGTCTAAAGGTAGATTAAGGGTATCCGAAAATGTTAAGAATATGAAGTGTGGCATAAACACATGAAATTCATCATGGCTTTGTAAGATTCTGCAAACAGCTATTGCAGCATGGCACTTCTGTTTTAAACAGTACTGATCTACAACCTTTGTCTTTGCTCAGGTAGGTTCCTGCAGTAAGACAGACCAAAAAGTAAACGCTCTGAGCTCTCCAGGGAGAATTTCAGCTTAGATACAAAATTGCACACCAACTACTGCTTTTAAGTTCTTAAACCCCTGCATCAGTGGAACATTAGTGCAGCTACAGCATGAGCAGGAAGGTGGGAGGAGACAGGAAAAGCACTTCTACCGAGTTAGCTTCAGCCATTGCTTTCACAGACACTGAGGAGGAGGAAGCCTTGCAGGAGAAGCCGTTTACAAACGGCCAGCTACTGTGTTTTGTGCTGGTCAAACCTCCTAGGCATCTTGTTTCATTCCTAGACAAAGGAATTAAATTAATCAAGTTCAGAGAACTCACACAGGAATTATTATGTATTTAATTCCAACTAATGTGTCACTGTCTTCCAAGTAGTTACAAACAGCCCAGTGGTTTGTCACCACTGTTGTTGGAGCATCCAAGAGCAGGCTCCAGCTTTATCTACATTTAAAAATAGTCATAACTCAGAAAGTGTTGAGTGAATATTCATTAAAAAGTCATCAGTCCTACCATATTACATGCATCAAGTCTCCAGGGTGCACCTAGAAAGCAGTGAATATTACTTAACATCACATTCACAAGCAGAAATCAACCTCTATCTTCAGACAGCCCTTCCAACAACCAGTCACAAAGCAACAGGTTACAACAGGCAGGCCAGGCACAGAGCAGGGGCACCAAGCAGATGATTCTTCATTTAACAGCTACTGTTGAGTGACACATTTATCTTCACCGGTAAAAGTACCTAGGTCCAAGAAAGGGCTTATATCTAGAGGCATCTCATTTTATTGTTTTTAACCAGACTTAAGTATAAAAATATATTTTAGATTGGGGCCTATTGAAATTACCTAACCAAATCTTGTATTCTATCAGCATAACAGCATGTATCACAAGTAAAACGTTTGTCACTGGTCTTTCCAAGACCACTGTGATGCAAACCAAAGCACAAAGTACAATTGCAGGATTTATTAAAAATAAAATAGCAACAATAATAAAAAAATCCACACACAGCACTCTTGCGCTGTTCAGTCACTCCATAGTATTGATTTGCAATATTTACCATCTGGAAAGAGATGCAGCTTGCTCAACATCAGTGAGCGTTCCCCTGTTGTGAACACACAACTTCTGTTCACCACACAAGAGAGCAAAGCAGGGGCTTAGTGGAAAGGACCAACGGGGGAAACTGGAATACGGGACAGCAGGGAGCACTGAGATTCGCGCTCCCACCTTCCTCCTGACACTCACAGGACCTCCTACCTTCTCACCCACCGCAGACCCCTTCTCAGGTGAGTTTCAGCCAGGCTAGGCACCTCCCCTCCCCTCCAGGCCGCGTCCCTCCTCAGGGACGCCTCAGCACTCTCCATGCACAGAATGACTGTCTGCTGCTGTGCAAACCCAAGAACAAATTCTGCCTCCTCAGTAAAAGCTGACGCAAATGACCTTTCATGCTCCACTTTCCAAACATAGCGACAGTATTTCAAGGTCCACATAGAAAAACCTGTTTCTCAAGACACTGGATACTCATCCAATTACCCTTACACAAAATATAACTTTATGTTGATTCACTTCCAGCTCCATACTGAGGTAACCTCACCAATTTCTGTTGGTTTGCCAAGAGGCCTCGTTAGAGGCAGCCTTCGCACATGGCTGGAGGACAGTGGGTCACTATTGCACTGCTTTACAGGGGCCTGTTTTTATACCTTTGATATGGTCTTTAACCCAAAAGGAGTCTAGTTCATAATTTTGTACACAGTATATACGCAGTTTTATGTACTATGTGCATAAGTAATCATTGTAGTCTAAGTAAACATCAATTTAAGAATTTAAATATATCTTTCTTATAATCCATCGAAGTTACTTTAGAAACTGCATCATGATAATTGAGAGTATTAGGAAATATGATATAATCCTTGCATTTTGGAATGGTTATAAA